CCACCTCCCTCTGCAGGCCCTTCCTATGAAGCAGCCTTCTCATCCTTCACTGCAGAGGTGAGGAATCTTCTTGCCAACCTTCCCCATCCTCCATCGTCTGGTACAACCTCTGTGCCACCTCCACCCTCTACAGGCACAGACTTTGCTAAAAGAGCTGATTTACGGGCTCTGTCAAAGGCACTAATCTCATCATTCAATGAGATAAGTGCAAAATTTGCCGCTCGATCCGTTGAACACACGATTGCGCTGAGGAAGAGTTTACAACAACAGCAAGAACAAACTAACACTCTCCTTCGCACAATGGAACAAAGGCGCAATAAGGATAGGGTGTGCACTCTCGCTTCCCACATTCGAATGTGGAAAAAAAAGAACAGATCAAGAGTATCCTGCTCTTCCAGTCGCCCCCACAAACAACCAAGGCATGAAGACCAAGACCCTGATGATCAAGGTCTTGGACCTCATGAGGGGGAGACAAAGGCGGTGGCTTCACAACAAACAGGATCCGCTGCACCACAGCAACAATCATCACCACAACAACCACCATCAACCCAACAAACCCAACCAAGGAAACCAGAGGCCTTGCCCTCTGATGAAGAACAGAATATCCAAGTTCCCTCAGCCAAAGTACCAGACCCCATCGTGTTGAGTTCATCAACCAATGAAGAACCAAAAACACCACCTATAGAAACAAACCAAACCCTCACTTCCTCACCCACAACAAACCTACCCTTAACCCCTTCTCCAACACCTTGACCCTTCACCCTTTCCTCACAAACAGAACCTACAAAAACCCAACCATCGCCTCAACGACCCCAAACCCCACCAGAAACCTCTCAACCACTTGAAACTGAACCATCCAAAGAAAACTCTCCCTCTACCCATACACAACCCCAAGCCGAAACACAACCCTTAACCCAACAACCTGTGGTGCATGCGGACATCCCTTTTTCCTCAAGGCATCCTCCACAAGGCCTAGTAGATGAGATCATCCAGAACATGGAGTCGATGAGGAGACGTCCTCAATTGCCACCCAGGGAACCAATCTTGATGGAAAATATCCATCAGTACATGTATCAAGATCGCGATGAAAGTTTGTCAACCAACCCTCCAATCCTATCGCCAGAGTCAATGAACCTCCTACATCATCGATTTGTCAGACAAACCACTCAAGAACCTCGAGCTGTCTTTTCGAATGAAGGAATAAAGAGAGTCGTTGACTTGAAGATAAAGTCTTTTGCCAACAGAGCTATTCGATACATCGAGTTCAGCATGGAGAGAGCCCATGGGATCGTTAGCGTGTTCAATGAAAACGATCTTATCAACCTCAATCCATATGACTTGATTGAGTTATATGCCTATATGGCATAAGATTTGGAATGGCAAACCGAGCG